CCACATTCCCCAATTCCACATTCCCCAATTCCACATTCCCCAATTCCCACATTCCCAAATTCCTAAATCTCCAAACCTCTAAATCCTAAATTTCTCAAATCCCAAATCCTCCAAACCCCACCTCTCCAAATTCCCAAACTCCACCCACATCTCCAAAACCAAATCCCTCACACAAACAACTAACTCCAACGACTAAAAATAACATCACCCTCCCAATATTACAACAAAGTAATTACAACACTGTTATTACCCATAAAAATACATCTTGAACAATAGAACCGTAGAGAAGCAGTGAATTTTCCAAGGAACACGGTAATAAAGCGTAGTATTTAGAAGAAGTAGTAGCTGTTGCGACGATAATTGCTTAATTACCGTCTCGTTACCGCGCTTCGGCTTCTCTCGACTGTCCAATTAAACTCTATGCCGAACTTTAATCGGCCTGATGGCCAGCCCGACTCACAAAGGCTCACAAACGCGTTCTCTAAAAACTGGTAAGCGTCCAGTTAAGCTTGTAAACGTCAACGACGATAGTTCAACTGAACAGCGTACGAAACACCAGTTTCCGCTCCGATACACGGCCTTAATTATTCCTTATAATTGCCTGATAAATTTAATGGTTTAATTAATTCGGTGCTGTGACGTCATTGGGTGCTCAAACGCTTGTTAACGTTCCACTGTTTTTGGAACGTATTCGTGTTTTTATCGTTTGGGGTGAAAAACTTGTTGTTGAATTTAATATCGGAGATGGAAGTGAGATTTTGGCAGGTCTGGAATTGAGAAATTTTTTTGGGTTTTCGAGGGTGATTCTGGAATTTGGGGATTTTGGGAGATGGAGAGATGAGAGTTTGATAGTTTAGGAAATTTGGGGGTTTGAGAATTTAAGGGTTTGAGAAATTAGGGGTTTGAGAATTTGAGGGTTTGAGAATTTGGGGGTTTGAGAATTTGGAGTGTTGAGAAGTTTGGGAATTGAAAAATTTGACGGTTTGAGAATTTGGAGTCTTGAGAAGTTTGGGAGTTGAGATATTTAGGGGTTTGAGAATTCAGGGTCTCCAAAGTTGGAAATTTGAAAATTTGGAACATTCGCAGTTTGGAAGTTTAGAAAGTTGGAAGTTTGAGAATTCATGGATTTGCAAATATAGAAACCCTCAAAGTTACATATTACAGAATTTAAAGATTTGAGAACCTATAAATTTGAAAAGTCATTAATTAAACAGTTTATATCCTTACAAAATCTAAAAATCCACAAAATTGATTACTTACAAATTTCCCTACATAAAAACTTGCGAACCTAAAAGTCTAAAACAACTTTACTTTCCCTACAAACTTGCAAATGCAAAGAATATATAAAAACTTGTAACACTAACGAGAACACTTGTCGCACGTTCGAAGCCATCACTACCTACGTTCAGTGACAACAGCATGTGCTCCAAGAGTTAACGCGAACAATGACCGTCAAACTAGCCGCCAATTTGTGCTGGAACAGATGTCACAGCCCTTGTGACGTCAAACGTTCGTTGTTCAAGTATCACGAAAGGGGACAGGATTTAGAGTAGAGCAATTTGCTACATGACGAAGAAAAAAATGCGTTCTCGTTCGAACGTAGGATTCGTCCGTGTCTCGGGCACACTTGAAAATAGAACCGCGTACTCGAAACTCTTCAAGGCCTTGGGCAGGAAGCCGAGAAGAGGCCAATGGATTTTCGTGGCCAGGGCTACGGCATCCGGTTGCCCAATGTTTTTATCGCACACACCAACGGGCTTGTATCTTCGTAGTTGTGGAACCAACGAGGACTTTCGCTTTCGAAAGCTGCGCCACTTATCGATTGACTTTCTTCCGACGTTCGTTTTCTGCCCAGAATCTTCGCTGTCTTTTATTGCTTCCTTTTATGATATGCGTTTAATTAAATACTTTTTACTTTGCTATATTTTTTTTTTAATGTAATGAAGTCTTTTCTTGCGAATAATGCTTTGTAATTTATACAGGGTGAGTCATCTAACGTTTGCACCTCTTTGTTGTTTTTTAAGACACAAGGACATTGGTGAATGATTCAGTGTGACTCATGAAACCGATACAATTTTTGTCTTTGTCTTTTTTTTTAGAAATGAAGTTACTTTCATATTTTTAGAAAAACACCTACAACCCCTGTTGATTTCAATAAGAGGTAGATTTTGAGAATATGAAACTAGTTCAAAAAAGGTGAAGCCAAGAAATGTTTTTCTACAGAAACATGCGAGGGAATGCGGATAGATGTGCGCAATTATAGAAAACGATGCGAGTACACGTTAAACGTTAGGAGGAACGCTAAACGCACCACTTACGATGTCAACAGACTTTTCTTGTTCGACTGCTATAAAAGTATAAACTACTTTATTGATCTCTGGCTGTAAAATTTTCCATATAATTCTTAATCGATGATTGCATAAAAACAAATTGACACGACATTTTAACTTCGTGTTTAATACTGTGGCTGTGGTTAATTAATTTTGATGTGCCAGACAAATCATATAAAGATATTACTGCATTACTGTATTGAATGTAGCTATTTGTTCTTTCTTATCTTCTATTATTTGATATGTTTCTTCAGATAAACTCACAGTAAAAGTAAAAGAAATAGATCGTTCTACAAACTGTGTTGATCTAAAAACCTGACTCTTCCCCAAAAAAATTCTCATCAATTTCCAACGTAGATTGACTTGCAAGTCTCTCAGAAAAGAAAGTTAGTTCCAGAGAAATAGAAGGGGTTAACCGTGGTGGTCTAACCCCGCAAATTGCTAATCAATCAATGTGGTTTCCATCCGAGCATCGTCTGAACTGTAGCAACATAACGCAACGGTTAATTAAGGCAATCGTCGATTACGGAGCTCC